CGTAACAGAACCTGCCTTTTAAAGGTCATAGAGAAGATGTATATAGTTCCAATAAAGGTAATTTTATAGAACTTGTTGAACTTAATGAGCAAGTATGATCCCGTTCTTGGAAAGCATTACTTGAAACTTGGAAAGCATTATTCATATCTTGGGAAACCACGTAAAGGAAAATATATTAGATTTCGATCCAATATATTTTCCTTTATTTTGCAATCATACAAGACAGCACGCCGGACATTTCTTATACTGATCAGATGAGTTTCATTTGTCGATATGTCGTTGTTGAAGACAAAGAAGTGGAAGTGAGGGAATCATTTAGTTTTATCACTGAGCATAGGAAGATAGCTAATGATATCAAGAAGATGATTTTGGATCGACTGGAGAAAGAGAAACTTGATTTCAAAAAATGTAGAGGGATAGTATTTGACAATGCACCTAGTATGGTTTGAGTTCATGGTGATGTTCAACGTCTTCTACGAAACATAAATGGGAAAGCTAAATTTGTGCCATGTTCTAATCCTAGTCTGAATTTATGCGGTGTTAACTGTGAATGCAAGTGCCATTACATTTTTCGGAGTTATTTTTTTCCTCTTCCAATCACCGGTGGGAAGTTTTATCTTCGCATGTGAAGGTCATGCTGAAACGTTTTGTAACCATCCGTTGGGGTGCACGTAATGAAGCTATTCGTGCAGTGAAAACCGGATTTCAAGGAGTGATTCAGGCACTCGATTCATTAACCTCAGCTTCAGAAAATCTTCAAACGAGAAGGGATGCACAAATCATTTTGTTTTCAATTGAAAATTTCTCCTTCATGTCGCATTTGTTTTATTGGGAAAAAATTCTCGAACAAATAAATCTTATCCAAAAAATCTTCAAGAACCTGGATATGTGTGTAACCCCCATGGATGCGACCAAAATTTTCTTTAAACGAAATAGGGACAGGCTGGTGTCTGAATCGGTTAATCAAAGTAAAACAAAGTGCGAGGAAATGGAAATTCCATTTGAAAAGCAGATTAGAAGAAAGAGAAAAAGGGGAAAAGGAAGATGATGTATGTCAAACACTTGTGCAGGAAGTAAAAAGTAATCTTTACGAATGTCATGATCGACTTGTAAGTTAACTGGAAGCATGAGTTGACGCCATGTCTCATCTGCAAACTGTCTTCACTGGATTATCACCGCAAGCAATCCTGGAAGATACTGAAGACGAGTTGGAGCGAAAATTTAAAATTCTCGGTAGCGAATACGGTTGTCACTTAGACATATCTAGGCTTCCTTTGGAAGTTCTCCGACTTCAGGATTTTATAACGGCAGCTTCCGAATTGGAACGTGACATGACTATGATGACCAAATCATCGGCTATCCAATGGCTGAGATGTATTTATCGATGGCAAGTTCAAGAGACAATGCCAAATATTGTGATTGCTCTATGGCTATTTTTGACGCTCACAGTTTCTGTTGCTATTGCAGAGAGCAGCATCTCAAAACTGAAGCTCATTAAAAGTCACTTGAGATCGACTATGTAAAAGATCTCTTATTCAATCTATCCCTCATTTCAATTGAACATGAAACTGTGAAGAAGATAGACTTTGACCAAGTTATTAGTAACCTTGCTTCTACAAAAGCTTGAAAGGTTAAAAAAATACGATAACGTTTGTTCAGCTAATTTTTGAATTTGTTGTTTTTCAAGTACTAATCAACGCCATTAAGGATATTTCGTTTATATTTTTCCTCCAAAAAAAAAAAGGTGTGTGTGTGTAGGGGGTGCTATTATGAATACGGGCCCCGGTGGCACTTTGCTCGGTAAGCCCCTGTATACATATAATAATCCGATTTTCTCAGTATTAGTCATGCTTGCATTAATTCCTAACTTAATTCCTATATTGAGTGCTGAAACTAATTTCACTTAAAATATTCTACATCAGTTTTTACCAACCACCACAAATATTTAATTTCTCAATGCAGAAAATGACTGACCTGAATTGGTAGAATAATAGTACAATTAGTTCGTAGCAATAAAAAATATTGTCGATGTCCACTGGATCCAAACGTAGTCGACAAATACAACCACGGTTCCATTTTACCCCAAGTACCAAAATTTTCTGTCAAATGTCATCATTAGAGCTAATGAACATTTTCAGCCGTATTTTTTTTAGTTTTTACTTATTTACTTATTTTTTGCTTTTTATAAAAAAAGACAAAGTTTTGTACGATTTTCACTTTTTAGTTTAAAAAAAAAAAGGGGGGGGGCGCAGGAAACTTTGAAAACAGCGTATAAAAATTCCTATTTTATTACATAAACAGAGAATAATAGACGAATCTGTGTGTGTATGTGTGTGTGTGTGTGTACATTCTTAAAATGGTTGAAATTCGTCAATGATTAAAAAACTTCTTGTGTGTGTGTGTGTGTGTGTGTGTGTGTGTGTGTGTGTACATACATTCTTAAAATGGTTGAAATTCGTCAATGATTAAAAAACTTCTTAGGTATCTCCAAAAAATTCGC